AGGCCCCTAGCAGGGCAGGAAAGAGCAGGCGTTCCCTTATTACCATGTGGCAGAAGCTTTTGCCTTTTGTGGTGACACTCTCGCTCATTTTTCCACGGCAGTAAATAAGCTTGACGCACTCACTGAAGGAGAAGTAATGAATTTCTACCTTTACTATTGAAGGTATACATGAAATCATAATATGCACCGACACGTTTTGATGTCCTAAAGAGTAACTTAGCTTGTCCAAATTGTCTTCAAATAACTCAGTAACTCTCTAGTGAGCATCAATCCTCCATTTTCTCTCAACTCTCTGCCTGAACAATTAGGGGTTGCATCATGATTAAAATGCAATCTTGACTCAAATACTGATTTTTTTTTCCGATTGTTTGACCGGGGCAGCAGCTGTTTGTGACCTGCATGCTGTTCTTTTCCTTTGTGCGGTCAGCGAGCTTCTGGGTTGTTTGCAGAATAGGAATAATTCCCTCTTTTCCAGTTCTTAATGATTACAGGATCGGGCGGGTGCGTGTGTCAAATTCTAGATTTGATATTTAAAACAAAACATCCCTGATATGAAATTAAATTAGGCACAGCTGCATGCATGTTACCTAACATTTAAGCCACACCCGTGTCGAGAGGAATTGGGAAGACAAATTTGACCAAGAAATGTGTCCGAGGTGTAAGCAGTATCCATCATGCATGAAAATTAACAACAGATGCCCGTTGAATCATACTGGAAAACCAATTTAAAAAACCGGAAATAAACTCGAGCGAACCGGCTGTTAAGTTGAGTTAACGAAAACTTTGATGAATTCGCAATCGCCAATCCGTCTGAAGACAGAGAACACTGACCTTAGTCAAGCAAAGAATGAGAACATCTCGAAAACGCACAATTTACAAATAACAAGAGAATATCAATTATTCAATCGATAGGAGACCATCACAACGACTGCTCTGTGCGTCTTTTTTATATAAGCCTTCGTTAATCTATTCTTCTCCACAACTTTCCCGCCTACATCAGCTTCAGTCATTGATTCATCGTCTTGATAAACTTGATTATTTGTAAAAACTTGTCTGAGGCAGAAGTCAAGACACTCACTAAAATAATACTTAACGTCATCAAACTAGATCACACATCACAAGTCTGATACGCTGATTTCATAATCAGACTTAAATAATCACATTTGACTGACCACCACAATTTATTCATCATGAAAATCCCGCTACTATTAAAGATTGTTCGTCCAAATAAATCAATTTCAAAATCTAACCCAATGTTCTGATTACATTATTTAAAAGTGAGATCATGGAAAACTCGCGAAATTATGCTTTTTCTCAAACCACGCCTGCTTAAGTCTGATTAAAAAATTCCAGGGTTTGGACAATAATACTAGGTAAGTTAAATGGTTGACGAGTCGTCTGAGACGATCGATAGAGGTGAGGAGTCTGAGACGGGTGGTGCCTGGTAGAAACTCTCTCCCCTACTCAATGCTCAGGCCACTTCATGGCGGTGACAGAAGAAGGCTTCAGCTTTAGGTTATGGCCAGATAATTTGTATTTAAATTAGATGTTCGAGATAGCGTGACGGTTTCATTCATTTCTGTACTCTCAAGATCAAGTATGTTATAGCCATCCGCTGGATTAATACTCTGATCGGTTGGCTCTATGGTAGCGTCGTATTCCCAGATCTCCTCAAGACATGGGCAGTGTCTGTAAAACAATCTCCGTGAATTTTCCTGGAATTTCTTGGTAAGCAAGCAGAAGAATATAAAATTGGCGAATCCTTGTGCACTCTCACCAATTCCCTAGAAAAAAAATATGGAAATTGGGTAATAAAGAAAGATTGTGGGTTGTCCTGGAAAAGGATTGCGACACACACACAAGCGCTGGCTGGCTACTTTATTATCAGTTAGGCCGTTCACATAATATTGCCACTGCTTAATTATTTTTCGAGCGGGACACATCACCGAGGCTCAATCTATTTTTGTTTTAATTCTGCCTCGTTCTCTTTTACAAAGCCTTCAAAGTATCTCCTGCAGTGAGCCAAACTTTTTTTAAAAAATGGGGATACTAGATGAGGTTTTTCCTGGGCAAAAAGGCTCCGAATCTAAATCCGTTGTTAGCAACGGGTGCAACTAGTTTTTGTGGTCAGCTATTTCCTTCGACCTTTCCCTTAAAACTAGATACTCTCTTTTTTGTTTGTTTATATGCACGAGTTTAGGTAGTTGATATTGCACACCCACCTGCAAATAAACCAAAACTTCTTGGATGTTCAGTGTTTTTGTTGACTTTAATTCCTCCTCAGATGAAGATATATAAATACAGAAGCGAAGCATTCCACAGGACCGTAGAATTAGGAAAATAACAGGAACAAAAGTTAGCCTTTTGTCAGCTCTTTTGGCTGCATTTAGGGCATTACTTCTTATCCGATGTCTTTCGTTCCGATGCAACTGAAAACAAAGCAGTTTAAAATATATTTTTAAACAAACGAATACTATAAGAAAAAAACTTCAACCTAGCTAAAAGAAAAGGCAATGATATGATCGGCTTAGGTTATACCACAGAGACGAAAAACGTAGGCTTTATTGCCAGCTGCTGCTCAGGAAACTTAAACTGAGCCCGAGCATCTCCCCCCCGAAGTGTATGGGACTGTGGGGAGGGGGGAGGGAATGGGGCCATTATAGACTGGACCCGAAAACGGCGGGAAAACCAGCCTATGAAAAACTATAGGTCCAACTTTCATCATTCTGATCAGTTGTCACCTAGGATTACGATGAATAAAGAGTCTCGCGAATAAAAGAAAACCAACGAGCGAACAGGAAGCAGAAAGTATTCTTTCAAAAGTTTGAGGCCTTTACAGTGTTTTATATCTGAAGAATTAAGTTCATTGAATATATAAATAAAATTAATAAAATAACAGATTAACGTTCCAACCATATGTTCTTCCCGTCGTTCTCTCAAAGAGAGAAAATTCTTAGTATCATCATTTCCACAAAGAAATCGTGACAGCTAGTCCTGTTAAGTTTTGAATTGCGTGACAGCTTTGACCATATCATCATTATACACATCTCAAATTTCTAAAAGGCATTCATGAGCTTTAAATCGGTGAAGTAATATATACTCAGTAGTGAGTAATTAAGATTACAAAGGTTCTTCTAAGCTTATATGAATTTATTCATTGTACATTGTGGCCTGATGAATTTCTTAGCGTGTGTAAAGATTGTAAAGATTAAAGATCATAGCGGGATACATCATGATATCAGTTAAAAATTAGAACTGTTTATAATTTAAACTGTTTTTACCTCTTCGCGAAGATGCCACTTGAGCAATCCATAGAAAATCAAAATAAGAACAAAGACCAGTATTTCCCATGCTTTGCCAGTGACAAGCATCCAGATGATATAGCTGTGATGTTGAGTGCTTTTTCCACTACCCTGTACCTTAATCCAACACCAGGCAGAACTAAAGATATCACGGTCGTTCCCTAGAACACCCTCAAACAGAGCAAAGCTGACGACAAACACTGGCACCCCCCAACCTATGCCATGATACATCCAAAACATCTTTAAGGCCGTGCTGGGTTTTTGCATAGCTATCGTCGTGTACAAAAATATAGCCATAAAAAGAGTCCAAAAGAAGGACCATAAGTTAGCGGTGGTGGATATAAAACTCTGAGTTGTACAAGCGTTGGAGTTTGTGTTTTGAGGTAGATATGCGCCAAAGATGTAACTTGCGGCCACGATACTATCAGCGATGGAGATGTAAACCAAGATTCTTCTCGAAGTCGACCTCATATCCTTCCATTCAACGTATGTAATAATTATTATTGATGCCCCAAGCAGCGATAAAAGGCAGGTAATGGTTACCAAAGCGCGGTTTAAAGTTGTGTTTCCGATGTCTCCAAAACTCAAAGTAACGGGTGGATGCGTTGTTGATGTGTTGGCAAAATTCATCTTGATAGCCCAAGTTTACACGGTCGTGATTTCTCGTCCTTTCCTCTCGGCAATCAGATTTACGGCCCTTAATTTTTAAACTCAGTTAATATTTCATACTTTTATGTCGACTCCATCATCACAAGAACGAAGATAAAAACGTTTCCTTCAAGCACCAGGTTGAGCCAGCCGCTCGAAGTGCTAAGGTTAGGCTTGTCACACAATCTCCGGAGCGTAAGCTGAGCAATTACGTAGAAAGAGGAATTCTTGGAAACAGCACGACTTACGACCCGAAATCTCACTTGTTAAATAAAATATAAGGGCCTTGACGTAAAAAAAGATTGATAGAAATAACGGGTGCACGTGTACTTTAGTGTAAGAGAGTTCGCCTGATACTGTTGAATTACGTCTTGTGACAAGGAGGTGGCTTTGCCACGAGTTCCTGCTTATTTCATTTAAGACTGACGTAATAAGATCCTGAAGGAAACATGAGATGGTCTGGCGTGCGCGTTAACACTTCTTCAATCTAGCACAGACATCGATCTTGAAAAAAACATAAGTTTACGCAGAGAAAACAAACAAACACTCATAAATCCCCCAAAATAAGACGCTTCAAAACATCTATTGAAAACACCGGATGCGAGTCAACTGTCAATTCGTATTCGGTTTGCACCAAATATTTCCACAAATCACCGACCATGTGCCTTCCCCGCTGTTTAAGAGAGGAAACTTTAAGAGAGGTGTAAATTTTTGGCGATTTCATATAAACAGTGAGACAAAGGAAAAGAATATTCGACCCCTAACTAACTGTCGTGCTTTCAAGGCGTAAACGGGGAGTTTCGACAACCTAAACGTGCTCGTAGGTGAAATAAGCGCTCCTACAAACTGTACAGCCTTGAAGGCACAGAGGAAGTTTTGACCCGAAACAAAAAGCATGGGTTAAAGGGAAGAAAAAACGTTTCAGACCTAAGAGATTAATCACCGCCCTCAAGCATTCCTTAAAACGCTCTAAGAGCAAAAATTGGAGGGCGAGTAGCTCTAAAGTTAGTCACTTCCGTCACGTCTTCGTCACGCCACAAACATAGCAGGGAAAACGTATCAAGTAACAAAGAAGGTAACAACTGAGACGTGCTGAATCTCTCGATTGAGTGGTGCTTAAAGCAGCCTTGCAGAAATCGATGCATTCCTCAAATAATCTCCATTTGCTGATTGGCAGTGAAGCTAAGCACCACAGGGGCCCCTTATAGGAGGCCTCAATGCAAATATGTCGCCAGAATCCCCTACCATCGCTAACACGTCTTTTGAAACCGAAGCTAACTCACCCGTCAACAGAGTTCTTACAACTGTGTCAGCGAGTCTTTCGTTATTGGGAACTTCTCTGATCATAATCACATTCATCGCATGGAAAGACTTGAGATCGTCTTCCAGAAAGATACTTGTGTTTATTTCAATAGGCGATTTCTTAATCGCTGGAGGTAATTTGTTTGGAGTATGGCTGCCGGAAAATGATCGAACTACTGCTGCGTGCAAAGCTCAGAGTTTTGTCACAACTTGTGCCTCGCTTTGGTCATTTTTTTGGACGACTTTTCTATCCATATTCATGTACACTGCTGTGGCAAGAAAGCAGGCTGAAAAAGCTGACAAGATGCTGAGATATTTCCACATTTTTGCTTGGGTTATTCCGTTAACAGTAACTGGTATCGCCTTTAACAAGTTAGGAAATGACTATGATTTCTACAGTGCTGGCTGGTGTTGGATCAGTGGCGAGTTGAAGACAAATGAGAAACGAAAATGGATGTTACTCACAGGCAAAGCGTGGGAAGTGGCTGCATATGTTCTTATTTCTACATTTTATTGGATGTTAAAGTGTCATATTCGTAAGGAGGTAATGTGTATTGTGTGGTACTTGTACCTGCTACTTTTAGACACAACTATGCATCGGTTAGCCAGGATTTTCTCTCCTTTCTTCTTCAAAGAATCCAACTTTCTGATTTAAATTGATTCTGACTGTAAATATATGAAAATCATATATGTGACATGCGGATAAAGAAATAACTATGGAAGTGATCTTTGCAGTTATAGACACTACTTTAAAGCAGCAGTGAAAAGAAGGCCTGAAAAAAATTCAGGCCTGTACGGTATTTTAATCCATGACCTTTGCGATACCGGTGCATTGCTCTACCAGCTGAGCTAACAAGCCAACTGGGAGCTGGTCATTCTGTTGGTTCCAAACTGTAAAGATTGCTTCCATATTCATTAAACTGATTCTTTTCCTTAATACTTGACCAGAAATTTCATCATCACTTTGCAACATTATTTCTATAGTGACTGAAACCAAGGTTGTGATTGGTTGAGTTAAACTACAACTTAAAATGTGATTGGTTGAGTTAAACTACAACTTAAAATGTGATTGGTTGAATTAAATTTCAACTTAAAAAGTGATTGGTTGAGTTAAACTACAACTTTGAAAGTGATCGGCTTATTGAACTGTCCAATAACAACCATCCAAAAACAAACTGTCTGATAACAACTTGGCAAAAGAATTAATGAAAAAAAGGAATTTTTGTAAAGCAATCACAATCAAGGAAATTGTAATTTTTATGATTATAATAATAATGATGATGATAAAAATCAAAACAGAGTATAAAACTATGTTTATTGAAGATTATTAAACCAATGATATAGATGATTTCATTAAAATTTGATTATTAAAAAGTAATTTGAAATTAACTCGCACATTCAATTGATTGCATAAGAATTCAATTTTTTAAAATTTATTTTATAAAAAGTAACACTTGAGCACAAGAAGTCCATTTGTGGCCCACATTAAGCATGTTCTATTCCTCACAGCAAGTGTTTTTCCACCTTCCAAGTAGCTGTTAAATCTGTATTTAACCTTTAATTTCTTTACATGTAGGTCTATCATCACCAAAAGTTTTCATCTCAACAGTCAAAGGAATTTGCTATTAAAGCAGAGAGAAGGCTTACATTGGTACCCATCATTTTTATTCTTGTGCGCATTTGGGGTACAATTCGCTTCATCATTTATTTGTCGGACAGTGTAGCAACTTTTAATTCAGAATGGGAAAAAGCTCTTCTTTACCTTCAGGTTAGTTTTTGAGTATCTTGAAGTCAAAACAAAGCAGTTGACCAACCAGTTGCTTCACAAAACACGCCATATGTTTTAGATAAGGGGTTGTAAAGATGTGAATTTATTGATGATTATGTTGATTTTCTCATGATGTTGTCACTCCTGTGGTAGATTACAAAGTTTCAAATTTACAAGTGCTTTCAATTGCAAATTTTCTTCAAGCAATGAACCAAAGATCAAGAAACAAGTGAGATTGTTTTTAGAACTGTGCTGTTGTGAACTACTTGGGAGTACATCACTAGGAGATCAAAGTGTTAAAATCTCAGCTGTTTCACTGAAAACCAACCAACCCCAGCACTCTAAGGTATCATAAGGTGATGCTTGACTGAATGACCTCATTGCTTGGAGAGGTATATCAAAGAAATGTCCTAATCCTAATTCACAATAAAAGTGACTTCATTAGAAAATTATTTATTTTGCAAATTATATTTTACATGTATTATAATTATTATTACTTATCATTATTATTACTTATTATTACTTACTATTATCATTACATTATAATAATATTAATAAGTTTTTCATATGCTGCATTTTTTAATTGGGTGGTTCTTCCTAAATTTGCCCAAGGTTCCCATGTGTAAGAGGAAAATTCTTTAGCTTTTTGTGTTGATTGAGGCAGATTTCCATACTATCACCAAAAATCTGCATCTTGAAAATTATTACTCAAGATCTTTGTTGATTTTATCCATACTGGACCACTGTTATTCTCCTTTCAGGATATTCTGTTCTCCTTGTTGTTTTTGAATCTTAGCAAGTTGTTAATCATTATTACCCTTTTTTGTCTCTGTCATGTACTAGTAGCTTCTTGGTAATTGCCATAGAGTTCTGCAGTGTTTCCATACACCATAATACTAACAAATGGTTATGGTCCACAGTTACTATTAATTTCCATAACAAAGTTTGTTGGTTCATTGTTTTGTTTTTAAATTTTCAGGGAATTGGTGACAGCAGCCAAGGTTTTGCAAACTTTTTACTATTTTGTCTTTTCACTAAAAAATTCAGAGTTAGTCTGAAACTTGCTGTTAAGGAATGTCTTATGTGCTGCAAATCACCATCAGATGATCCACCTCCAAGGATAGACACATCTGCTGAGTATCAAAATGGTTGTAGAACATTGATCAATGAAAGGTCAAGTCTTCAAGCAAGCACCAGCACATCAGTAGAATAAGGACCATGAGTTCCATCTACAAAGGACACCAAGGAACCATTAATTCCATAAGGATGACTACATGATGGACAGTATTAATCCTTTCACTCCCAAGATCTCATTAGCTATTCTCCTTACTGTCTACAATTGTAATGATATAACTTCTGAGAATTTGACATGTTTTTCTTTATTCTCATCTTTTATCTGCTTGATATTGTACAGATATTGTAGGGAGAAATTCTGTCTTGGTTACTCATGGGAGTTAAAGGGTTAACCAGACTTAAACCAAACTTAAACTTACTAATCAGTCAATAGAATAATTATTGGACTGCAGGTTACACTTGCTGTTGGGTATCTATTTTCCTGACGGCTAAAGGCCTTAAACTGATCATTCAAATTTTTTATCCTAAAGATATTCCCTCATTTTTGCTCTTCCAGAACTGAGTGGTAATACAAAACAAACAAAGGAAGAAGGAAAATCTGTATGGATAAAACCTCAGGCATCACTTGAAAGTTAATGAAAATATATTGTCTTGATTCCTTGAAACGCAAACTTGATTTCATTGAAACCCAAACGTGATCCTTTGAAACGCAGACACATGATTCAATGAAACGCGGGCTTGGTTCTTTGAGACGCAAACTTGATTCTTCGAAACGTAAACTTGATTACGGTTCAAGGAAATCAAGTCACGTTACAAATTGGGTCGAGAACGCATTGTGTGACAAAACTAGACCACTAGTGTGATGAAGAAAACTTACTTCTCTGTAATATTTGATTTCGGTTCAAGTGACTTCCTCTCACCTCCCCCTTGACTGAATTTTATTTGGCTAACACCATTCCTTTGTTTTATGACACTTTAACTGCCACGAGTGAACGCAAAGCAACAGCGCTCGCTTCGAAACGTGGATATGCCAAAGGGCAAAGGGAATACGCCTGCTGGCAACTGAGCACGTGTCTTGGCCAATGAGATAGGAAAAAAAGAGTGCAGGTACTTTCCTTTCATTTATGTTTTACTCAGAACCGTTATAACAAAAATGTTTCATTCGAATCGAAAATTGACTTAAATTTAAAATCCATCGACTTGAAAAAAACCTGCTGATTTCCCAGATCGTCACTTTTCCAAATCAGTGAAGTTATTCAGTAAGTTAGCCGAGAAAGCAACCCGTGACAAATTCGGAACTAATCAACTGAATAGCAACCTGATGAGCTGCTTAGTCCAGAATAACAAAAACATCAAGGAAAACGCTGATAACATGAAAAGCTCGTGACTGTTTTTGTGATGTTAGGAAAGGTTTGTTGTTAAATATACGACAGAACTTTTCATCTATGGTCCTTCACCGTCAAGTGCGAACAGGTTCAGCTTGTATACAATGCGCTCATGTTCAGCACATGTCTATTACAGTGAACAAAACATTTATACTAGGGCGAAAACAGAGAACAATCATTTTCATCTTAATAGGATCGTCACAGAGCCCTCAGATTTACTTTCGATAATACCTTGTGAAGGTTTTTTGACTCTCTTATACGATGATGAATGTTCCGGAAAAAATTGTTTCAAGAGAAAATAGGCCCAATACTAAGGATTAGAGAGCCACAAGCAGTATGAGCGCCTCGCGTGACTTGTGACTGAAATGTGATCTGCATGTTCCCGTTACGAGATGTGCTTAGAGCATGTGACGAATGATGAAGCCTATTCTATAAGTATATTTGTTAGACTAAATGATTTTTAACCCTCAGCTCTATTTCATCTTAAAGGTTTGAAACTTCGAAGCTAGTGAAATGTTCTTAAAACAAATGTGACCGTCGTAACCATGAGCTACGACAAGGAAGCCGCCGGGGAGGTCAACAAAGCTTTGACAACAATTTCTGCAAGCTTCTCGTTATTAGGAACTTTTTTGATCATTGCAACATTTTTAGCATGGAAGGACTTTAGATCAAATTCCAGGCGAATATTGGTGTACATTTCCATCGCTGATTTCCTCATAGCGGGAGGAAACTTACTCGGAGTATGGCTGGTAGACGAGAATAACAACGCGTGTAAGGCTCAGAGTTTTATTTCAACATGTGCTTCGCTTTGGTCGTTTTTTTGGACGGTTTTTCTTGGCATATATATGTACACTGCTGTGGCGAGACAACGGGGTAACAAAGCTGATGAAATGATGAAATTTTTCCACATCATTGGATGGGGTCTCCCTCTGGTTATTGTGAGTGTTGCGCTTGGACTTGGAAAGTTAGGCCAAGATCATGTAGATAGTGCTGGCTGGTGCTGGATTGACGGGCGTTTGAAGAAAGGAGAGAAAGAAATATGGATGTTATTCACAGGAAAAGCCTGGGAAATAACTGCTTATTTTCTTTGCTCAATATTTTACCTGATGTTAAAGTGTCGAATTCGCAAGGAGGTAAGTGAAGGTTCTCTTTGTATTTCTAAGACTGGGAAAGTGTTGTCCATAATTTTGGATTGGGGGTGTGGTCTGCCTCACTGTGCTTAAACTGTCAGGAAAATTTTTCTGCACCAGACACTTTTCTTTCTGGTGCTCAACAAACCACATAAATTAAATGTGTGTCGTTCTGCATCTTGAAAATTATTAGTATTTTCTTCTTGTCATTTCCTAAGTATCTATTCACGCACACCATGAACATTGGCAGGTTACAGTAGATATTAAACATGTTTAAAAAGTTCGACTTTTTTTCTGACAAAGTAAAATATAATGGACATTTTTTTCTCTCCTCCAGATATATAATGAGAAAGCGCAGTTTTCATCTCCTCAGTCAAAGGAAGCTGCCATAAAAGCCGAAAAAAGATTGATGCTAGTTCCAGTCACGTTCATTTTAATTCGCATTTGGGGAACACTTCGCTTCATCCTTTACACTTTCGCTGGTGTTCACAGTTTGAATACAACTTACGGAACAGTATTTCTTTATCTACAGGTTAGTTTGTTGTGATGTGCAGCTCAGTGTGACTTTTTTTCTCGACTGGTGCGGTGGCCAATCTTACTATCTTCTGTGTTCTAATTTTGTTAAAATGTCTATGACGATCAAAATCACGAGACACTCAAGAGAATTGGATTCCCGTGTGGGTATTCGGCACCCGTGAAGTCCTGTCAGTTTGACCCCATTACCCGATTCGCGGAACATCGATAAAAAAAACCCTTTGCCTTTCGGTTTCACATTATCTATCGGAAATCCATCCATCAATCAATCAATGTTGTTAATTCATAGTCAACAGCTCAATGACTTATTATTACACCTCACCCATGATAATCATTTCGTTCTAACTTAAAACAATGTCGCGCAAAGCCCCTCAAAGGATGGCTGCAAAGGAGATACTCGAAAGCTAGCAAACTTTTTTGCCAAAAAAAAATTTTACTTGTATCAGATGAATGTGACAATGTGAACAGCGAAATGTTTCACTATCACACTGTCACGCAAACTTGCGGCTACATGGACTTCGTATTCAAGATAATACAACACAGTACAACTTATTAGTTACAATACATTAGCATTAGCTACAATTTAATAGTTATGTGTGTGGTCAGAGTTAAGCTCTGTTGCTAAAGTATAGTCAAGAACGCGCGCTGAATATGTCTACTTTCAATCAAAGTTTACGGGGAGATTTCAGTAGGTCTTGTAAAAATGTAAGAGGCTGGAAAATGAAACTTTAGTGGGATTCCCTATGATTCATGACCCTTAAACTACTGTGACTTGAATTAATTGAGCGGATATTGCCCATACTAGGGGGTAGGGGGTAGGGGGAGGGAATACTCTAGAAAATTGTATAGTCGGCCCAAAAGGCCTTTGTTATTTTCCTGTATCGTCTTTTGTAAGGTTTTTCAAAGAACTGCTTAGGAAGGAATGGGTAAAGCGATTATTCCAACAGGAATAACGTCCATTGTTTTTTTGTCATAAATCAAATTTCTTTCCTTTCTTTGCTCTCTAGGGAATTGGTGACAGTAGCCAAGGCTTTGCAAACTTCTTGCTGTTTTGCTTCTTCACCGAAAAATTCCAAAGTTGTCTAAATTATAGCGTTCAGAAACTTTCGCTGAATTGCAAGAGATCATTCACCCCTTCATCGATGGTGGAACTCGAAATATCTAGCCAAAAAACACGTAGTATCCAGTCAACAGATGAGAGGTCATATCTACTGCCTAAACCAGACATCGAAAGAGGTCCTTAATTGTGTTTGCATTACATTTTGGTTCTCACGTTATCACATCATCAGAACTTGGAGTGTAGGAATTAATGTACGAGGGGAAAAAAGGAAGATAAACTAAACGTTTAAACTCAAACGAAGGCAAAGCGTTAGCTTTACGCACTTCTAAGATACACTTTTGCCGGTACTCTTCCAAAAGTATCGTTTTTCCACATGTAGACTTACATGTAGTTGTTTTTAGTATCAACTACAATTTGTGACAAACTGAAACTTGACTTTCCTCCAAATATTTTTCACTTTTCAGGCCCTGTATCTTCTAACTCTTTACCTTTAAAACCCAGGCAGATTAGCTGTAAGGTGTTATTTAGGAATTCTCTCGATGAATATTATTTATTTTTGTATAGCGTAGTTATTGCAGGTTTGCGTTAGCAAAAGTCATATTTTCTTTCATTTTCATTTTTAATTATATATGTGTTTTTATCATTTAAATAGGATCCCCTTGATAACAGTACCTATGTACTGAGGGTCTATCCTGTATAAATATTCATTACTATATAATTATTATTATTATTGTTAAGTTCAAACAAAATATTACTTTGTTCGTGGCAATGTGTGTTTCATGTACCAGTTGGTCGCAATGTTCTCCAAGAAATTATTTTGTCTTGTCCAAGTTAAATTTGAATGAAACTCTTAGGTAAATACAAATGTATATTTAAGTAAGGAGAATATATTTATGGTTCCGTATTTCTTAGCATAAGTCATTCAAATCATGATCCATATTGAAGGAATTTACTAGAGATATCAGAGGTACAAGTAAAATTTGAATTTTTTTCCCCCTTAATTCTGGGTCAAGTGAAAACAATAATTGTTATGAAGAGGTAAAAATTTGGATGGAAATAATTCCCACTATATAAGAGAAGACAAAGACAAAGAAAGAATAACAAAGTGTAGAAATCTCAAAATATAGTTTCACTGATATCACCTGTGACAGCATTTTGGTTTTTAAGGTACATTTCAATAAAATTTTGGTGCTCATGAAAAACATATATATATTTTGCTCACTTTAAGAGAACATCTGTATCAGGCTGACTGGTTAAAATCTACTTTGTAGTAAAGTTTGAACAGTCAGAAACTAGTGCAAAAGGCTATTTAAGTATAAAGTTAGTTTTGAGCTTCATATAAACAAACTAAGTACATTAATTTAATTAGCTACACAACCATTATCAGAAATTGTTATAAAAATGAAAATCCTAGTTACACAATCAAGGAATTCCATTGTAATCTTACTGGTTTCTAACAATCAAAATTCTAACAAGTAATGGTAATAGGATTGAGTGAAGTCCAATTCAGTCTGTTACTGTAATAATCATTAACAAAATTAGACAAAATCCCAGCAGGAGTGTGATTTGTTAATTAGAAGTATGATTACAGACAGAAATGGTTTTAATCATTACTATTATAACTTCTGAAAAGAAAATTTTAAAAACTGTGGAAAGAAGAGAAAGTTGGGAAAAATATCTCGGATAGAGACATTGTCTGACGTACAAAAATCTTTCATTTTGGAAACCCCCAGTTTTGTAGGGAAGTGGTTGTTGCTATGGCTATTATGATCAATTTTTCGATAGGTGGATTTCATTGAGTGGACTTAGTATAACTGGCTGCTTTAACTGTCCATTTACAGGTGTCCAATTACAACAAACTGTTCAATTTCACTGTCCAACTACAACTCTACAGAATAATTAAAGAAAAAAAATGCAGCTTATGCACCAATCACATTGAAGGAAATCGCAATGGTTATGATTATACCTGAAAAGAGTATGCTTTTAAAACATCATTTGCCATACCAACACATGTAGAGTAATCACAAAGTACTTTTTCAAATCCATTCCCTGCTCTTTGCAGTGAGCCACCAAGGAGAGTGTATTTACTGTCTAGATTGTTTGAACTCTTTGACCAACAGTAAGTTCTGATGGAGTAATCCCTTGAGCAAGATATCACTCTGTAACTGTCAATATACAGCCCTGTAATCGGTCCCTCATGACTAGTATGGGTTTGTAATGCCTCAAGTGAGTTTAAATCCCACAAACGCACAGTATGATCATGGCCAGCAGTTACCAAAGCTGATCCCCTCGTACTGATACATGACACCTCTCCTATGTGTCCCTGAAAACAATGAATCTGCTGCCTAGTGTCTGTATTCCAGAGGATGACATCACCATTGTTGAACCCTGCAATAATTTGGTTCTGTTTGCCATGAACCCAACTAAAGCAAGTCACAACTGAATCAGATGGATGCTGAAGGGTTTGCATCTCAGGGCTCTTCCAGCAGTCTGGTGCAAGGTGTCTTATATCAAATATCTTGATGGTGCTTTCAGACTTAGAGGCTACAGCCATAAGATGGTCAGATTGAAGTTTCACACAATTTAACCCAAATGAACATGTTAGCTCATATTGAGGACTTAATGTCTGCCGTGGATCCCACATCTTAACATAGCCATCTCTGAACCCAACAAAAAGAAGTTGGTCTCCACCTCTCTCTTGTCCAATTACATCTTTTCCACACACCATTGAGGTTACGACAGCAGAATGGCTGCCTTGCAAAGGAGAGGCTTGCTCTGTATTGATGTCCCACAACTTGATGTTCCCTCCAACATCTCCACTTGCCATCAGAGTATTATTGGAGAAAACTGTTAGACAGGCAACCGATGATTCATGAGATTGCTTCTTCCACAAACTTCTTCCTTCTCGCACATTCCATACACATACAGACTTGTCTTGACTGCAGCTTGCAACAATCGGATAGACATTCTTCTCAATTATTTCCTCATTATAAACATCATTGCTTGTGACAAAAACTGCATCTGTGATCTGGCCCTTATGCCCACGTAATGTTTTGCATACATAATCTTGGCCTGGCCTCCCTGTGGCTACACCAGTTTCAATCTTATTCCGAGCCACATAGTACCTCTGCCATGTTCTCTCTCCTTGAAAGAGGAAGAAATCAAATCAATTATTTATTCTTGATGACCACCTTCTTAACCCTTTAACTACCACATCAAATTTGTAATTCTCCTTACTTTCAACCATACAATTCTCATAATGTTAGTTCAAAGAATCTAGTATTGAATCAACTAATTATCCCCAAATTGATATGTTTCTTTATTTTCATCACTTATCTGGTTGATATTGTATTGATATTGTGAGGAGAAATTCTGTCTTAGTCACTCATAGGAATTAAAGCATTAAATGACATCTATGTTATGTTTAAAGTGACATTTATAACATAACACATTCACAGTCTTTACGACAACCATGCCTACCTAAATCTATCAACAGAAAGTATGATAGATCAATTGTAGAAAAAGTAGATACTGGTAGATATCAAGGTTTGAAAAGCAACAGATGAAGTTGTTGTAATTTTAAAACTATAACAATAGTAAGAATTTCATTTCATCCTGTTTTTCCCTACTTCCTATGATAAATTTTGTGCTAATTTGAATGCATTAAGCCTCTGCAATATAAAACGCAACACTGATTTTGGGTTAGGGGGCTAAAAACAAGTGTATGAGAGATGCAATGATTTTCCAGTATTCATATAAACATAGGAAGGTGTTTCAACTCCTTTGTCATTGATTGTCACTCATTGTTACATAAGTACAGAAATAAATGGTTTGTTAAGAGATGAAACTCAACAGTATCAATACTGAGACTTTGGCAAATTGTCTTGATACTAAATAAAGACATTTTTCCACCACTAAATAGCGTTCCCTTCCGCTCTCCCTTTGAATATTGGAACATTAAGAGAGCAAACAAGCTCTAACACAGTCTCTGTGCATCACTGTAATGGAGGGATGGGAGAGAATAAAAAACTGGTAAGAAATTCCCATTTTGAAAATAATTATTTCTAACGCACGAACCAGGTTTCAGTTTTCCCAGATGACAGAAGTTCCATTTCTGCAAACAATGCTTCTTCCATAAAGAACCAACTTGGGAGGCTTCATACCAATCTTTGCAGACTTGAGAGCATTTAGAAAGTTCTCCAGGCGAAAGATAACTGAAAATATTTACAAGTTCGTCAAAAGAAAATATATTTCCTTCTTGGTCCGCCATTGCTAGATTACTTTGCAGGTGATAAAGAGCCCACAATTTCCCAGCGGCCTCTTCCCTGAGTGACAGAATGTGTCTTGAAACATAAAGTAATCAGTGGAAGCACATTGCAGTTTGGTCGTTTTGACAAAGTAACTCTCTCTTCTCAAAACTTAGACAGGATAGTTGAAAATCCCAGTCTCTCTGTGTTAATTGAGACTTCCCAGCCAAATAAGAACATGGCAGATTCACATTCAGAACGTTTTGATGGAATGTTGCTCGCGATTGCACAGCAATGCGAAGGAGGGATTGCTGAGGTACGTGGGAGAAATTACTTAATCTGTATCCGGGTTGATTTTCTTTGGAAGAGATCTATAAATATGCCATTAAGTATGCCCCTAAAGTGTCGTTTCCCGTTGAAGCTATGTTATCTGTGAGGTGCACATAGTGTCATACATCCTGTCGTCGACCCCAGCTTGCATCAAGCAAGTCAAGAAGTATTGAAAATACCATAACATCTTTTCTGACCTTTTAATCAAGTCAAGAAGTATTGAAAATACCATAACATCTTTTCTGACCTTTTAATTGTTTCGCTATATGTTCGTCACATTTTTCACATTCGATGTCATTGAAAAATGTTCCTTAACAGTTGCTAGATGTATTCTTTGGATTTCTGGAAAGAAAAACAGACTTTTTCATTGGGGCTGGGAAAGCAAATGCTGAAAAAATGGTACTGAGCAAGTTCAAGGAGCATCAGAAGAAAGTTGAAGAGGTTTGTTTGAATTATACGTTACTTGAATTAATTCTTATCATTTATTTATTTATTTATTTACTGAGCTTCAAATGTTTTGTACAAGGTATCATATGTACATTTATTTAAGCCATTAATACTATTTTTTTTTAATTGTTTGCATGCATTTTAAAAGTTCAATGCCCCACACCATCAGATCAGTTACATTTTTTCATTAAGTGTTGTGAGGCTCATGCAAAGTGTAGTGAATCCAACTTGTGAATTTGGAATAACTGCAGACTATTAAGTTTGATTCCTCTAATTTGAAATACAGCTCCATTTGTTTCAAGCTTCATAATATTTTAAAATTGGAATTACATGTAGTAGCTTGGGAATTGTAAGGTCTCTGTCTGATTCCAGTGGACAGCTCCCTTGTTTTTGCATTGAATTGTTCAACGTTTGTTCTTTTCTTACTAGAGAGGAGCAGTTTTTGTTACTGACTTCTTTGTTGAGGATATGCAAATAACATTATTTTCTTGTGGTTTTTTGTTTACCAGAAAAAGGAAAAAGAGAAGAAGGAGGCTGAAGCTTTGAAAGCAGCAAAAGCTAATAAGGAAGCACAGCAGAAAACAGAGGCAAAAATACAAGAAGTGACAGAGGAAGAAGCAGAGAGGATAAAAAGTGAAGAACAGGAAAGAAAAGAAAAGCAACAAAAAGAGACTGAAGAAAAAAACACAAAAAAAGATGGAAAGGCTGAAAATGGAGAGGTTAGCCTTTATTCTTATCATTAAGAAGTTGTACAAACATGTCAAGTGCTTTCTTTTAGTTTCAGAACATTTTCCTATTTACACTTAATGGATACATAAATAGATATCTCATGCTTTTGATGTACATGGAAAAATTTTTTTCCTGGTTTGGTGTAGTTTTAATGCTTGTAATGTAAGGATTTTTTAACTCTTTGGCTTATTCTTTACCTTGCTAGACTGCCAAAGCTGAAGGCTCTGAGGATGAAGATGAAGATGCTAAAGGAAAACTTAAACCTAACTCTGGCAATGGAGCTGACCTTGAAAACTATAGATGGACACAAGTGAGTTGACAAGCGTTATTCCACTTCTTACGACTAGTAAGCTTGCCAAGCTACCTGATGAAACTAGTGAGCTTATATCACCCACATGAAAATCTGTTTGAAGCATCAAATTCTGTATACCATTACTGTATTTTACAATAAAACTCATTCAAGCTCCTGTGGTGTTGGCCATTAGCTATGTGTGTATCTATACAAGACTTGATATTTTTTTTCAACTGACTTTTACCTTATATGAACTTATTTTTATATATTTATTTCAGACATTGCAAGAAGTAGAGGTGAGCAGATTTACATACAACAGTCAGAGGAATAAAAAATTACAACCTGTCTGTTTTATTATTTCAATGTTATGACTTCAAAATTATTACCTTTTTCAAAATAAAGCTGTCTATTAGGAATTAATGTGATCTGTAAGAGCAAACATTGTTAATATTTCTATACAATATTTACCATTTTTATTTACATTATGTGAACCAATTCCCTGATTGCTAACTTGATGACTTTTTCCAGTTCAAGTTTCCAATGGCATGCGCCCTGCCATCTTTCTTGAATTTTTTTTTTTCATATGAAAGACTGGTAGCTGTTCACAAGCTAGTCACCAGCACTAAAATATTCATCACCTTAATATGTAAACTAGTGGGAAGGTTGTTTGTTTGTATTTAAAATTTTTATAAAATTCCACTTTGATGAATTTACATCCTTCATTTGGAAGTCAGCATGGAATGATGGATTCATACTGATATTATTGAGCTTCTTCTTGTTTACTTGAAGAAGCTGTGATCAAATAAGCTGATAAGATCTGACAATGCTGGCATACAATATTGTGGCACTGTTCTCTGAAATATAACTGCAAATTTTATTAATAATGTTGTTCTTTTTGGAATGGAATTTAAGGCCTGGATTCCTTTAAATGTCAGTTTTAAAGTGAAAGGAAGAGATGTAATAGTGGATATACAGCAGTCTGTAAGTTTTTTATTAAATAGTAATTTTTAGATGACCAAACTAACAATTAAAAACAAAGAACCAAACTACATCAGAACATTGACTGTAGGCTAAACCCTACAAGCTGTGGAGAGTTTATCATCATGAACACATAATGTTGTGGTTCATTTAATTGACTGCTGGTTAAAATTTGATTTTCCCCTTATCTAGCTTTGTCGTTTTGTACAAATCTTTGATAGAAACGCTTTTATTACTTAAGGAAGTGGTATTTGAAATAAGGGTTAAAAGTGAAGCCTAAAGTATGTATCAAAATGTGCAAGTTCTTCTTCTGCCACCTTGTAAGTTTCCTCTAATGAAGCTTTTGTTATTCTGATGAAGTGCATTTAGTGCTCATCCTCACTTCAAATGTTCTGGTCAAATTTTTTTAGAGGTGTCCTTGGTGAACAACATGTAGATAGTACTGAAATATTTCTGAAAGTTTGGGTTAAATTAGCTGGTTATTTTGCCCAAAACTGACTTACCCAAACTGAAACTATCAGGTATAAAATTTTGGTATAATTAATTGTTTTTCTCTCTTCCTCTGTACAAAGCATTTAAAAGTTGGCTTAAAAGGACATCCACCTATAATTGATGGAGACCTGCCAAAGAAGGTAGCTATAATTTAATTTACCTTTATTATACAGGAGAATTTTTAAAAATGCAAAATAAACAAAAAGGATTTTGGTAAACAGCAATAATGATTTTTTTTTATTAGGTGAAGATTGAGGAGTGCTCATGGGTACTGCAGGATCAGAAAAATGTTGTCATCACCCTAGAAAAAGTAAGTGAAAACCAGTTTAATTGGGTTAATTTTTCTACATAAAAGACTTAAACTTTCAATAAAAGTCATGAATTTAAAGGCATGCAATTGGCAGTTATGTGGTTAGTAAAGATCTTTCCCTCTTTTAAAGATTGTGTAATATTGCACAAAATATTCTTTTCTGTTTGAAAGGAGTTAGCAAGATTGTCATTTTAGAAGAAAAAGCTGTCAGTAGTGGTTGCATTTTTGTTGATAGTTGCCATTTTACTGGAAATTTTCCAGACTGGTAAAAATTTTTTTCCCTGGCAACCATTTCAGGATTTCAGATCACAAAATGGTGACTGTATAGATTTGAGTTTTGAGCCCTTTTAGCCACTGTAATGGCAGTTTTCATGGATTTTTTTTATGTTCTTTTCATATTAAACTAGTTATTTATTGTTAATTGCTAATCGACCCATGTGTGTGTTTTGTCAGGTTAATAAAATGGAATGGTGGTCACACCTGTTGACAACAGATCCAGAGATTAACACCAAAAAAGTTCAACCAGAAAATTCAAAGGTTAGAATATTCCAAGAGTGTAATATGGAGAAAATTATAAAATCGCCACAACAATTGTTGATGTCTTCAGTAAAAACATAGCAGCTTAAGCTCAAGTGTCAGCTAATGCATTGGCTAATGCTCACAAAATTAGCTTAGAGACTCTTTATGGTGGCCAATTTACTTTATAAATTCAGTTGATAAAGCCAAATTATCTTGTTATACCCCCACCAACAGTTTCTTACCCTCTTTATTCAAACTCTGAAAACTTTGAGCAGCAGAAATATTTTGAGATAATTTTTTGTAATTTTGAGGTTTACCCCTGCTCCTGTTCATCCTGCTAGGATGAAATCAAAAGTGTGGACAGTTTTCTTAGTAAATCAATAATAATTTTTTTTTCATATTTGATTAAAACATATTAGCAAACATCATTTATTGCTGTCTTTACTGCAGCTTGGGGATTTAGATGATGAAACAAGAGGAATGGTGGAGAAAATGATGTTTGATCAAAGACAAAAAGCTGTAAGTGTTAAAATATGTCATCAGATATATTACAAACTATACAATGGAAAAATAGGGTTGTGGCCTCATTAAAAGTAACAACAATCATGTTAACATCATTTGAAGACAAATGGAGTAGAAGAAAATTTAAATGTTTACTTCAATTGGAACTGAGTCAAAACTCAAATAATGGCAAGTGCACTGCAGAAAAACATACTGTAGGTGGTTAATCAAGACTGGAAATTTGGAACTTCTGAGAAGTCAACTTCAGTTGTAACATTTGAATTATTGATTACCCAAACATTTGTTTTTTCATTAGATGGGATTACCTACTTCAGAAGAACAGAAAAAGCAAGATATCCTAAAAAAGTGAGTTTTTTTGTCCCTCAAAAATGGAGTTGAAATTCCCATTGTCTGGCTTACTTACT